AAAGTTCAATATACTGAGGTGGTGTACCTTCTACAGATTCTTCTCTATGTCCTTGGACTATGTGGAAAACGAGTGAATATCCTGATTCGAATGATTGATATGGTGGTTTTCCGCTTGAAATTTCCCATAGAATTACTCCAAAGCTATAGAGTCGGATTTTTTTTCACTTTTATATTTGTGATTGATAATATATTGGGGTTCGATATATGCTGGCATTCCACGACTATTCGAGTCCGAAGTCATAGGATCTTTTTTGATAAACCAAAATCCGCAATCTTTTGTTGTTTTGATGAATTAAGATATTTTTTTCGAATGCTTAAATATAAAATCCGTAAAATCTAGTAAAGGTCTCTATTACTTACAAGGTCTCTATGAATAATTTTATCATCATGTAAAAATAGAAGTCCAAATGCTATTTTCTTAGCAATATAAGCTTTATCATGTAAAATTTGCTTTTAGGTATTCTCGTAAATTTCCGTCATTAGCATATTGTAATATAATATTATAATATCCGTTGTTATCTATTTATTAACATCAACTAGATTGTTTTTAATAACTAGTAAATGGGATTACTGAATATCAGTTTGGTATGGGCAACCAAAACTATACCTATTTTAAACACCATATCATACCAATCTGCTATAATTCCTAACCCTAACCCAAATATGTTATACTGCATTAATACGGTACGAATTTTAAATTGATATTTTACAACCCATACCAGACCTATCAGGTCCTTCGTATTTCCTATAGTAAAAGAAAACGAAAAAAAAATCAAAAATTAGGTTTTTTAGATACCCTTCGTGATACCGCAGAATGCAATAATATTTTGATGATTAGCAACTTTTCGTAATAGTTTAAACTAATTGAATTACAAAGTTTAATAACATGTTTATACTGTAATAGGCAGTAATTAAGAATTTAACATACCTTATTAATAAAATCACTGATAATATTCCCACTTAGATTTTTGTTGACTCTAATACATTTAAAAGCAACTGTCAACTTACTGTCTTTCCACTGATATTTAAAAACCGTCCCAAAACCTCCAAACCCAATCTCTTTAGGATCTGCAAATTTATCATATTCGTGATAATTAATATGTCCATCGGAAGTAGTTTTTTCAAGCCATCCTTCCGGTGTGCCTGTCATAACTTTTTGGATGCCGACAAATATGTACGTACGTACGTAGATGATTAGAATTGCTGGTGAAACTAATAAAGTGGTGAAACTGGCGACTATCTAAAATTGATTGGTATTAATGATATCGTGATTTAGAAAAGTTCAATTATGCTGAAATTCCGAACTCAAAGTAAAGGCGAACTTCGAAATTGCGCGAAATGAATAAAGAGAACAATCAATATAATTAGCATGTATAACGATAGGGAAGATTCGATTTCTCTAAGTCGGTTGAAACCTGCAAAATATGCTAGATCTGTTATATCACAGATAAGGCAGATATAGTATATAAAGCGGATAGAGCAAATTTGATAGAAAAAAAATATATAATAACGAATATGTATATAAAGGCTCGACACCTTGTTCAAAATAAAGATACCTCCCTTTTTTGAGTTCAAATTATGAAATAATACTAGTTAGAGTGATTGTTAATGCCTCATTCGTAATAAAGTTGTTCACATAATTCGTGTGTCGAATTTTTAGTCTTCTATTAGTAGAAGAAAGAGAGAGCGAATTACCATATTTTATCTAATAAAGCTATCATCAAAGAAGATTATTATGTTTTACTAATATAATTAGATTTAAATATAAGCTACCCTCTTACTTTGGTCAGAAAAAAATTTCTATATTTTGCTAGCTTTTATTCGGTAACATACGATAATTGGTAATCAAAACCGTTTTAATATAGAATCAAAATGATAATTCGAGTTGACAGTAAAGCCAACAGATCGAAAAGGCAGTCTAAGCAGTGATGCGCAACACGTTGACAATCACATGGGCAGTCGTATGCGGGGAAGAAAGTCCAGTACATACAAGTTAGATAAAAATTTTAATGAAATGCCTAAATAACAAAAGTGACAACAGTACAACGAAGCAGAGAAAATAAAGTGAGGTATTATTGAGACATCATCAACAGTCCTGTAAATCAAGCAAATCGTACGTAGCTTTTACGTTAACTAGAGTGCTAGTGTTCTGAGTCATTTCACAATTCAGGTCGATTCCGAATTGACCTAGGTCATTCATAAATTTTCACCGATTCAGAAATGACCCAGGTCAATTTTTAATGCAGCACTCGAAATTTATGAATCAGATGTGTCCAATCATTCATATGACAAATAAACACTAACTAATTTATTTATATAAATAAATTAGTTAGTGCTTATTTGTCACATGAATGATTGGTAACACCCAACAGCAAATTTAAGGCAATACGAAATTTATGACCAGGGTGTGACCAATCCTCGGGTGACAAATAAGCACTACCTAATTGACTTATATAAATAAAATAGTTAGCGTTTATTTGTCACACTGATAATAGACCACACCCAAGAAAGGTGATCCCGAAATTTAATAAAGAATTAGAACTCGGAATTATTAAATTTCATTATACAGTACTACAAATGTATTTACTTAATTTATGCAAAAATTAAAAAATAAATAAAGCTGTCGAATGTTTGATTTTGAATACAACTTTTTATTTTTTCTTATTAAATTTTCATAATGGAACGATACAACTTTCTGACGCGTGAAACCTTTGACCGAATATTAGAAACTTTTATTAGTCAAAGGAAAAACAATCATTGTTTAATGGATCAAAATAAATATAATCAATGTTTAGCCGTATTTAAAAATCCAAACGACTTACAGAACCCAAATTTTAAATATTGGGTAACTCATAATTTTAAAATTTTTTACATTGGTACAACTGAAGAACTTCATATGATTAAACCAATTGAAAATGGTCTGGGAACGCAAGTTTGTTCTGTTGAAAACTTTTATAAGATAATCTGTGCTGTGCATCAGGCAACAGAGCATGCAGGTCAAGACAAAACATGATGAAAGGTTTTTTTATTTATTTTTTTTATTTATTACTTATTTAATTTTTTTATTTTTTTATTTATTTTTTAGTGATAATAAAATTTTTAAAAAAGATTTATATGTAGTATTGTTTTATTACACAAAATGTAGTTGAAGATGCTGTTCATAAATACAATGTTTGCATTACTAAATGAGTCTTTATAAAAATTTCACCCATCAAGTTAATAATTTTAGAGAGATTTTTACATCATGTTCAGGTAAAATAATTTTAATTAGTTTATTTTATTTATTTATTTTTATTAAAGAAATTTTATTTGTAGGTAGATACTATCAATATGACATTGATACCTAATAGAATATATAAATATATCTTCCATATTAGGAATCATTTTTTAAGATTTTCTTATGTAGAATTTTTACAATTCAAGAAGGCTGAAGAAGCTGCAGTTTGTTTATTCAATTTCTGTATGATATATGATTCTTCTATAGTATTATATTTAGATAACAGTAGAGAGTTTATTACAAAAATTATTAAAGAGATGTTAAGTCTCTAGTCTATTATTAAATTGATCCATGGTAGATCAAGAAACCCACATTGTCAGAAAATGGTAGAAAAGAAAAATGGCATTCTTCAATCCAAATTAGAAGCTTGAATAGAAAAAACAGGCTAAAATACTGGAGTATTGAATTGAAATTCATTATTTGTATATTTTTTTTTATCTATTTTTTTTATTTCAGTTTATTTTATTTTCTTTATTAATTTATTTTTTTATCAGTATTTTTGTATTAAATTTGCATTTGTATTATTTAATTAATCAAATTAATAAAATGCATCAAGTTCATCATATTTAATAACAAATATCTTATTTAATTAATTTTTTTTATTAATTTTTGTTAATTTAATTTATTTTTATTTATTTATTTAATTTATTTATTTATTTTAATTTTTATTTATTTTTACTTATTTAATATTGTACTAATTATTATTATTATTAATTTAATTAAATTTTTTTTTTAAATATTAAAGGTGAGTACTTGCAAGTTAGGTTTTTATTAATAGTATGTTTCAGCTTTGTAGTTGTATTATTATAACAGTTACAAAGAGCAACTATAGAAAGAGTTTACAACTAGTTATTTGTACAACTTTAGTTATTGTCTAATTTAAGTAGTTCACATAAAAGTTTTATACTAGCTGCTATATCTAAAACCCACTTGTGGGTTCACTATTTAAACATTTTGGTTCTTGTATCCACTAACTAGAGTTGTTAATAGATTGAGCAGTTCAGCTTGGCTCTTAAAAGTTATAGCTTTAGCTTGAGTTATAGCTGTTAAAGTCACAGTTTAGATTACAGCTCAAGTCATAGTTCAAGTCATAGCTGAAACTATAGTTCAAGTCATTGCTAAAGCTGTAGTTTAAGTTATAACTAAAGCCATGATTACAATAGCTATTACTAGGAATATAACTTTAATATATAGCATTATATGCATATAGATACAAAAGTGCTTAATGTTATTTTTTTACTTATAGTTATTAGTATATTATATTTATAGTAATAGTGAGTATTTAGTATATTGAGTAAAATACTTATTTTATTAAAATAAAAAAGTAAGCTTGCTAATTTATTACATTGCATCAGTTTGTAATAATAAGATATATTAGCTTATATATATAAAATAAAATCATTAATCAAGTTAAAAATATTAAGTTAAAATATTATTTAGTTATTAATTGAGTTAAACATTGTTTAATTTATTAATCAAGTTAAAATTATTAATGAATTAAAATTATTATTTGAATTAAAATTATTTAGTTAAAGTTATAAATCCAAAATTTATATAAAATGTAGCAAATATAAAACAGTAAAGTATAAAATTAAAATGTCAAATATTGATCTTGTTTTTTATAATCTTGAACATTCTAATCATAATAATGCTACTACTTCAATATCTCAAACATCTAAAAAAAGTATAAGTAAAAAAGAAAGTCAATTGTATTAGATTATATGCATGAAGAAAAAGATAAAACTGAAGCTAATATAGTAATATATAATAATTGTTCACAAAAATATAGTATTAATACATCAATGGAAATTTTAGCTGAACATTTAAATAAAATACATAATTATGATATTACTTTAAAACAAAGAAGATATTCAGTTCAAAAACCTTATAGTAAAGATGATACTGTATATATAGAAGAACATGAAAGTTCTGTATTAGATTTCTTTATTGGCAATCAAATTTCATTCAATATTGTAGAAAGTTGGTAGTTTTGTAAAATGATAAATAGACTTTATTCAAGGCATTAAAAATACTGATCAATTATTATTCTTTTCAATTTAATTAAATCAATGATCTATAATTATTAATTTAACTAAATTAAAAATAATAAATTTTATTCAATATGTTTTTTTAATTTTAGCTTTATTCAGTTTTATATTTTTTGTTTAATCAGATATATTTCACCAAATTGATAACATATTAGAGATAAAATAATATTATAATATGAGAATCAAAAATTACTTGTTGCAGAAAAACTTAAAATCTTAAATACAAAGTAGCACTTACTGCAAATATTTAGACTTCTTTAGCAAATTAAGCTTATCTTAGTATTACAATTCATTTTATTAATAATAAATAGAAAATAAAACAATTCTTGATCTAATTCATTTTAAATTTAACTATACTGCAACATGTACAAAAGTAAAACTAATTAATTTTTGCAAAAATATGAATATTGATAATAAAGTTATAGCATTAACTACAGACAACTATTCAGCAATGATATTATGTAGAAATTTATTAAAAAAAGAGCAGAGTAAATTTGGGTTTAGCCATTATAGATGTGCAGCATATATTTTAAATATTGCAGTTAATCATACTATATAATTAGAAATTTCAATAATTGAAAAAATTTGAAAGTTTATAAATACAGATCAATATTTAACAATTTTATATAATGATCTTTAATATTTTTGTACTTTAAATAGGTAATTTAAATAATTAATTAATAAAACAAATTTATTATACTTCTAAAAAAGACATTTATTTATACAGAAATATTAATTATTTAATTATATACTTTTAATATTATTTATTTTTAATAAAAAAACATTTCATATACTAAAAATTTATATAGTTACTCATTGGAACAGTACCTATAAAATGCTTTGTAAATTTAAAGTTATATGTCCTAAAATTGATCTTTTTGTAACAGCACACAAAGATTAACTTAATTACATATACTCTAGTGATTATAAGTAGAAAAGAATTAATATTATAATTAATCTTCTTCATCCAATTTTTGAAGCAACAGAATATCTATCAGGTAGCTTATACCTAACTATTTCTGATATTCATTTAACTATTAATAGACTTATTTGCTATTTTAATTGATTTATTAATGATGAAACATATTTGGATAAAGAGTGTATAGTTGCAGATTCTATACATTACAAATTAAATAAATACTGGTCTCTTTTAGATAAACAAATTATGATAGCTGCAATTCTTGATCCATCATCAAAATATAAAACATTACATCTAGAAAAAAAAGAATTGCAGCTATTGCCAAATTATATTAAGAAATGATTTATTATTAACTATTGACTTTTGTAACAAATACTAACTTGGATATCTCTAAAAATAAAAAAGCATATTTTGAGTCTTTTTTTTAGAAGAACAAGAAACTGAACAACTATTAGAAAAAGAATTAGATTTACACTTATCTTTGCCTATATGTAAAATTGATTCTCTTTATTAGTAGAAACAAAATGAATATAGATTTCCAACATTAGCAATAATAGTATATAATTATTTAGCTATTCAGAAAACAGTATTCTTTGTAAAGAAGCTTTTTCTGTAGTAGCAGAAACAATTACAAAAGTTTGTAGCTATATTCTTTTTGAAACTGCCCAGGCATCACTTTGTTTAAAAAGCTAAATAGACAAAACATTGAAATATAATTGATATACTATATATTTTCACTATATAAATCACTATATATAAAATTAAATGCAATATGCAATATGCAATATCAATTTAAATATATAAATAAACTTACAAAAGTAGATACATATATAATATTAAATTACAAAAAATCATCATTTTTGCCTTATATATTTCAATATGCATTGTAATTAATAAGCTACAGTGAAAGCTAAGCTATAGCTATATTACAGCTTCAAGCTATAACTTAAGCTACAACTAAAGCTGCTGTTCTAAGACACAGTTCAATTACATTTTAAGCTGTAGCTTATCAGCTTGGAATAGCTTGGCTCTATTATGCAGCTAAAGTCAGCTTCAAATTAGTCATTAACAACTCTATCACCTACCTACCTATCCTACCAACTTCTTTAGTTTTTACAAGTGTATATGTACCATAGTCACTAGGTTTTTAAAGTAGTTTACTCATATGAAGAACTTTTAACCTTGTACTAAACCTACTAGAGCCTTCTGTTATTCAATTTTCAACTAATCCTGTATTACTATGACAGACCAACACTTGCAGTCAGGATAATTCTTAAACTGCTACATTTTTGTAAAGTTTATACAACCCCAGTACCTCTTTTTACAACCTTACCAGTATCTTGTACACTTTTGCAAGTCCTTCTATATTACTAATTCAGTTAGCTCTTATAATGTGACTTCATATCCAGTTTACCTAGTAGCCAGGTTGGTAACTCCTTTACCTAAAGTTCTTGCCCCTACAAGTTTCTGCCCAAGGTTTCTATTTTCAGATCAAGATTTTTACAAGTGGTATCATTGAAGATTATATTATTTCTCTACTTAGAATTTCTAAACAGGGCTTCTTATAGAGTATATACTGTCTGAATTTATTTGTGTAACATTACATACTCCTAAAGTTAGTTTTGATACAACCAGAATTACAGATTTACAACTCCAGATACTCTATACAAGTTGCCAGAATAGGACCATTTTTCAAATTTTCTACTGCTAGTGGAATTTGAACTTTGAATCTACTGCTTGGAGGATAATAACCCAATCACTACACTAGGATTACCATTCTTAATTTAATTAAATTTTAATAATAGAAGCCATGAATGCTCAGTATTGCTTTGCATATAAATTAATTCCTTATAAGTAAGTATTTGGATAGCTTCTCTACTATAATATCAATCTAATTGATATATTAGAAGGTCAAGAGTCTATGAATAATAGTACAGTAGTATCTGAAAGTTTTTAATCAACTATTGCTTCTAAAATTAGTAGTATCAGTAGTAAAACAATAGAATTAGAGCTTAGTAAAAAACATTTTAAAAAGTTGCAAGAGGTTGATAGTAGTTTAAGAAATTTATAATAACATAGATGTAAATATAAATATAAATAAAATACAAAAATCTATAGCAATGTAGATGTAGATATAGGTATAGATAAAATGCAAGAATTTAATACTATAGACAAAATACAAGAAATAAATAATGATATAGAAGAAGCATATCATATTAGTAATAATATAATACAAGAGATTTATAATAATTTAGCATTATTATTATATGATTCTGAAATTGAAGAATGTTCAAAAAATATATTAGGCCTAGAAATTATTGAAATTATTAATTCATATAATGATTCAAGTAAAAACTTATATTATACTTTGCAAAAAAAAAAAAAAATGACAAGCACAATTTAAAGAAATTATGGTTAATATGTTAAATTATTTAACTTAAATAAAAAAAATAATAATTAAAAAAAATTTAAATAATTAAAATATTAATATTAAATTTTTTTTAACTATTATCTAGTACAAATTTGACTTATCCATCTTTTGAACAGCATAAAACAGTTTGATAATTAGCAATTTTAAATATAAAGAAAAATTATAAGCTTATATGAAATAGAATGGAAAACAAATATAAAATTAAACATAATTAAAAATTTGAGATTAACAAATTTGTCAGAACACAAATTGCTAACTTTTCTGATGATCAATTGTACCAAAACTCTGCTAAAGAAAATTTTACTTTTCTTTAACAACTTATATTTAAATATATTCTAAAAACTAAATAAAATAGTTCTTTACTTAAATTTACATATACTCTTAAAATTTTATATCAATAACTTAAATATTAAATAAATTAATTAACTATCTGTTAAAATATACACAAAATGCTTGTACTCAAATTTGGCTTAGAAAACTTGTCTTACTTACTAAGACAAAGTTGTCCAGCTCATCTCAGACTTCATTTTGATAAAAAGTTTTATTTGAAACAGTTAAAAATTGATCATTTTATAAGCAAAAACTTCTAAATAGTTATTTTTTCTAAAATTTTCTAAAAAATTGTTCTTTTACTCTTATTCTCTCCAAATCTGGACTTTAAATATAATTTAAAACACCATATATTACTGGTTCAATTCTTCAACAATTATCTAACAATTATTTTTTTTAAATTTTTAATTAATTAATACAAAAATAAATAATTACAAATTTGTACTTATTCTAAAATTACACAATTTTGAGAATACTTTATTTTATTCTTAGTAAAAGTTACACAAGCCTCATACTGTACTATAAGCCATACAAGCCTCAGCTACACCAGCCACAAAAAGTATTACAAAAAGTTGATTATTACACAAACTAAATTTTACTTTTTTTTGAAGCTGTCATCAAGCTTTTCAATATTATTATAAAAATAACAAGTCAAAATGCCTACTCTAACTACTATTGAACCTGATTCTTATGACTTAACCTATTATTATAACAAATATCCAGATTAATTTGTTATTGGTACTAAAGAATCTAATTCACTCACTCTATACATCTTACCTAAAGATGTTAATTCATTAAAATATGACGTTAATAAACAATAATATTATTTTAAAATGCCAATACAATCTATCATATTAATCTGTCTTTGTGGCAAATTTCATATTAATTTTACCTCTAAGCACTACAAAATTACTTATACTACACCCCTTTACCAAACCTCAAATTCAACTGCAATGAATATTTTTCCAACTATAGTTATTTCTAGAAATCATTTTAACAATATTGTTGATAAACTATCCAAATCTCTTATTACTAAACAACAACAAAATCTCTAATCAATTTCACAAATTTCATCATCTTCTTTTTATATAAACAAATTACTAGTAGCTATTGTCCTATATTCTCAATACTACTACTTATGCACTCTATACAAAAGAAAAGATATCTTATATGTTCTTATCTAAGAATCATGACATGCATCTGACTACTCTAAAGCTATCATCTTTAAAGAATTCTTATTTCACTAAGATTGTGTTCACAATTTCCAATATACTAAATTAAAGTTCCTTCTTAAAACAAAGAATTCACAAAAAAACAATGCTTTATTTTTTATTTCTATTATTTCTTTAAATTTACTAAAGAAAAAAAAGTCAAATTTCTTTAGAAACTTGTTTTTAGAGACAAAGAAATTAAACAAAATTCCAAAAACTCACAAAAATAACAACAATCTAAAAATACAACAAACCCAATTTGTGACACTTCTAAAGACTTGAACTGGTTCTTTAACTATCCAATTACAGAAAACATAGAACAAAATACAAAACTAAATACAACACTTGCTTAACAACTCTTTAACTTTTCTAAAACTTATCTCCAAAAATTCACTTTAGGACAACCAATTTCATCTATGTTAAACAACTCTCAATCAACTTCAAATCAAAAACCTTACCAAAAACAAAGCTTTAATTACTTGTTTAAATCAATGACAGTAGAAAAACCAAAATTTTTTACTAATTTTTCTGTCAATCCATTTCATCACTCTTTCTCCAACTTAATATTCCACAATATGCATATATCTTAACACTAAAAAATCTACTTACTAAATTTACTAAACTCCTTTTTACTAAACTCAATTACTTATATATCTTTCATTTTACTACTTAATTCTACCTTATTCAAATGCAGATCACTGCAAATTAGCAATTAACTTTGCTTGATTATACTTATTTCTTCATAACAAATATCAAGCAATTTATTACCAAAAATTTATTGAAAAATTAGAGCTTTATCCTCTTAGACTTTCAATAAAATATAACTTTGAATATGATGCATCTAAACTTTTATTTAGTATCTACAACAACAACTAATTTGCAATCACTGTAACTCTCAATATTTCTAAATCTAAATTTTCTAATATCTTTCAAATCTCTTTACTTAAACCATATATCAATAACTTTAATACATGGTATACAAACTTCTTTAAAGCTTATCAAAAACAATTCACAAACATAAATGAATACAAAGTTAAAAACTACATTAAATACAAAATTGCAACTACATTTGCTAAAGAATACAAAAAACTTCTTCATCCAGATTTTCAAATTACAGAACCTACTTCTCTTAAAAACTACTCTTTTCTAACTACAAAAGCTGTACTATTTTATATTCATACATGTAAAGATAAAAACTGTAAACTTTTACCTAAAGACACAGAACATAATTTTAAAAACATATTTACTTACTTTTTTAATAAATCTTTTAAAACCTTCCTAGCACCTTCAAAAGAGAACACCACTTCTAAAACAATACTATTTATTTCTGATTATTAAATTTTCCTATCTGATCAACAATATACTGCAACTTTTACAAAACCTATTCTACTACATACTCTAAATGAACTTATACTTAAAGCAAATATAAAATTTGCTACAATAAATACTACTAAAACTAATTCAAAATATACAGCTTACTATTTTTATTCCTATTTAAAAGCTTATTTAAATACTGCAGCCACAAATAACATTATTTTATATTTCAAACTAAACAAAGCTTTAGAAAAATTCATTACACCTACTATTAGCCTACATATCCTAGCATGAATAATTCTCTATTATCATATCAAAGTTAACTAAAATTTTCTATTACTCAAATTCAACTTGACTATAATCAAAAATATCTTCTCAAAGCAGAAAAATTCATTATCAAACATTATAATATTAAAATTCCTTTAATACAAGATAATACTCTTTTTCTATTTTCAACTACAATATATAGTTCACTTTTTCAATAAATCCTTTTATAAATAATATAAATACAGTCGCCACTTCCAAAATAATAATGTCTTTCACTAAAAGTATGCTATTTTTAAAAGAAAATGATGTAAATAGGTAGGCAGAAAAGCCTATTTATATAAAGAATCATGCTAATAATAGTCAGACCCAATGTACAGGGCAGACTATGATATTTTCTGCAATTATAAAAACCAAGTATATGGTAAGCACATCTATAGAAGAAAAATCTAACTTCTCAAATAACAACTCATCACATCCTTCTAAGAATTCTCTTTCAGAAAAATTTTTCATATCTACTTCCTAAAAATTACAAATACCTTACATTTTTATCAATACTTCAACAAATTTTAAAACTACTAATGTTTATTATAAATCATTAACAGATGATACAAATGATACTATTGACTCACCAACTCCAAAATCATTAAAGAAAAAACCTTTATCCAAATTTTCAATCTTCTAAAAATATACAATCCTTTAACATGTTTTAACAAATTTCTTTTCTTTTATAACCTATAACTCAATCCTTACCACAATCAATAGACTTATTTCTAAAATTTATTAAAAATGAATATCTAGAATACTATTCAGCATAATATATAAAAATCTCTATTAAAACATCTAAAAACAATATATATAAAGAAGCACATATTTACCTTTCACAAGAAACCAATCTCTTATCTAACTTTACTAATATCTCTTTTGAAAATCTTACAAACTTTTAAAATAGTTCACTCAAAAAAATAATACTATAAGATTCAAAATACTTCTCTCTCAAAGTGCCAAAACTTTCTCTTATCTACAACACCAATATTTTTTAAACCTCTCTCTATTACAATACATATAAACAACAACACCTTATCTTCTGAAAATACAAATATTACCAAATCAATAAAAATACATTTACTAAATATTAATGGTCTTCTTGATAACTTTAAACAACTAAGCCAAATTGATTTTATTTTAGAAAATCAAATTAATATTTTCAGAATTTCAGAAATACATCTATTTTGCAAAAAAGAAAGTTCTCAATACTCTTGCAAAAACTTACAAACTACAAATGCTTTTGGACATCAAGTAATGCTCACCAAGATGGTGTAGGAATATTAATCCACAAATCACTTGTGAAGCATATTAGAGAAATACAGACTTACAAAATTTTCTTTTACAAATTGATATATTTCTTAAAAACCATTATATTAAACTAATTCAACTTTACTTTTTAACCCCCAAAAAAACAATTTTGAAAAGTCATTTTTCTATACCTCACTCCTATTTTTAATAAAATTAACTACAAAATAATTCTATTAGGAAACCTAAATAGAGTTCCAAATTCTAAACTAGATAGATTACTACAAAAAAGCTCAACTACACCTAAACATTCTCTTCTAAGAATACTTAAATCCTTTCAATTTTATAATAACTACAGGCTCTTCTTCCTATTAACACCTATATTCTCCTATATACACAATAACAGTCATAATAAAGTTGACCAAATATAGACTAACATTCATATTATACTTTTAGACTATGCTGATATTTTAATAAATTGATTTACTACAATTGATCACTCAATAGTATCACTTAAACTTACAATCAATATATCTAAAACTAATATACCTTAACTTCAAT